CCTTTAATTTTGGTTTGTTTGGACCATTTATTTTCTTATTAATCATTTCAATTTTTTGTTTCAATGTATTTTTTTTATCTTGTTCTGTGTTTTTTTTTTCCATGTACAGTTTGCACAACAGCCGATGCTGACTTATATATATTAGGGTTTTGCAGTATTATAGTACATTGTCTGAAATAGAGTAGTTATATCAACCATGATACCTTTGTTAATACTTTAACATCAGGTTTTTCAATTGCCATTATATGTTGTGCTTACTGCATTCAGAGGATTCCTGTTGTACCTAATCTTGGGTACTCCCAATACTTGTATCTACCTTCCTTTTTTTTCGCTACAATTGTGTGTTCGAAGACTTCTCATTGAACTTAGGATCAAGCACTGATTTTTAATAGCGCACATTTGATCTATTGTTTATTTATCTTAATTTTCTGGAGAGTATATTGATTTGTGTGTCTCATTTAATTAGTTGTCTTTGTTTAAAAGATCTGCGAAAGAATTTTTTTAAACTGAAACAAGTTTTTTCATGGACCATGACTTTTCATTCATTTTTTTCTCAATTGAGTCATTCTTTGTTTTATATTGATCAGATATTTAATTTTTGTGTTTGCCTGTAGGCTGAATGTTAAAGTTTGTATCTTGTTGGTTAAAAATAATAAATTTTGGGAATATTTTTTATTTAATAAATCTTGCTCTCTTTGATTACAAATATTTGTGACCTCTGTAGACGTGCCTGAACTAATGCAGCTTGCAACAATACAGGGAAAGTATTTTCAAGGCAAAATAAGCCTTGCATCACCTGCTGGGTGGGGCGCCCATTCAGTGGCCGGGAGTCATATGTGCTGTGCACGATGGTGCTGTGTATACACCTTTCTCCTGTTTCCCGATCTCGGAAGTTAAGATAGTTAAGTTGAAGGGGATATTGCAAATTGGTTAATCACCGTCCTGCATACCCTCTCTCCTCCTTCCACTTCCCCTTGATCCTAAGCTGCTAACTGGGCGCCAGGCAAAAAGAATGTGTGCCCTGCTGCTGAGATGAGTCGAGCGGAGGTGACAAGTGGGCACCGGAGGATACCCAATACCCAACCGGTTGAGCGGGTATCGTCCCCACTTGTCGTTAAACAGCCGTGGGGGAGAGAGAGAGAGAGAGAGCAGGGTGGATGTGTGGCGAGTAGAAAGGCAGAAGCGAGACAGACCGCTGCACGCTCAGCACAACGGATTTGAGCCCCACCGCCACACTACGCGGCGCCACGCGCCCGCCAGCGGGGGCCAATCAGAGCGACCCTACCCCTTCCCCTCTCCCTGTAGGTCACTGCGGGGGAGGCGATCCTGACGGTCATTCTCCGACCCGACGGCGGGGCGGAACGGCGCGCAGTCAGCACAGCACAGCAGTCGTGACTGGTGCCCTACCCCCTGGTGCAGTTCGTCAGCTGCTCCGCTCAGCGCCGCCCTGGACCTGGATGAGCACGAGCTTTGCCAGCTCGTCCCCGTGCTCTTGGTCAATAGTCTGATCCGGGAAAACTGATCCGGCCTAGCACCATGGAGGACAACGGCTTCCGCAAGAGGAAGAAGCTGCGCCAGAACGGAGTGGTCCGTCCGCTCCTGACAGGTACCTTCTCTCGCTAACGCACAGACGCAGGGGTGTCTGCGACCGAGTCCGAGTCCGCGTCATGAGAATGCACGGATCGAGTCCCTGCACGCTCTTACGGGCCACTGTACGCCTTTCGTCGTCTGCAATCCTGATGTTGACGGTAGCAGAGTCCCTTGCTCGCGCGACTGCACACTTTCCTTCAGAGCGAGAAAAATGCCATGACATTCCCCGGACAGTTGCATTCCCTCGCGCATTGTCGTCTGCCAGCCTTTAGAAGACGCCCGAAACCTGGGGGTGTTATTGTTGGGGTAGGGAAACTGCTCTTTCGGTTATGTTTACTTGTACCTCCCCTAACCTCTCAAGACCCGTCTGTCTTTGCTGGTTGTGAAACATGGACCTCCCTGACCTCCCTCTTCATGGCAAGTCGTCGCCGTTGAGTTATTGTCACTTACGGCAGTGACATTCTTGTTTCCTGTCGTTAACATTTAGTCTGATAGAGGTTAATGTGAGCTTGGATCTTCTACAGTTCATTTATCATTGCATCATCTATGTCAAAAGATTGACGATTATCCATTGTTGATGTAGATATTCGCTTCTCTTTAAAAGTAACAAATTGTTTCCATCCTTTTAAAATCGATTTTTATGTCAATAAGCTGCGTCTAAATTAGTCCCTTTTTTAATTCTCGGTGTTGGCCTTTCTGTTTCTTACATGTAACTATTATATAACTAGCCCAAACTTAATCGTTCTTTGAGGGTCGCACATCAGAATGCTACGTATTTCCTTGCTTAACTTGCAGTACACCTATTATGATAACTTTGTTGTAGAAGGGAAGGCTATGCTAATATCAGTAATTATCAGAAAAAATTTACTGTGAATAATTGGTTAAATTTCTACTGATTTTCTCAAATATAAACTAATATATCTTTATGGAAAATTTTATATCATGCTCAGATGTACATTTTTATACATTGCGTCCATTAGATCTAAAAGAATAATGAGATAAAGTTAGACTATATAATAATATATTTGTTGCAGTCAATGTGTTGAGAGAGCTGAGTCGAGAAAAAGCATGTTTACTTATGCGTCTCATTGTGTGAGCTATTTAAACTGTTTGTCTGTGCTGTTTGAGTAGGTTCTTCATGTCTTTGACTTCCCCAAACCTGGTCTTCTTCTCCCTATTTCCTTCTGCCTTGACAATAAGTGGCTCTGCTAGTGTAGCTTTTGGTCCAGGTTCATTTTTATCTCATCTCGAGTTAGTATCTAACCCCTTATCACCCTCACAGTGTGTATTGCACGAGAAAGTGAGCAAAGGCTTCCTCATTGGGTAGGACTAGCAGACTAACATGCACATTCCATCTTCTATCAGTTTCCATCTGATCATTCAGCCCCAGGGAGCTCTGGATACCCCCCCCTTTAATTTTGGTTTGTTTGGACCATTTATTTTCTTATTAATCATTTCAATTTTTTGTTTCAATGTATTTTTTTTATCTTGTTCTGTGTTTTTT